GCGCAGGTGTTTCCATCTATGGTATCTACATGTCCATCTAAGCATCCAGCGTGAAGGGAGATGAAAGGAGGCTGCTTAGCAAAATCTAAGATCAGACATTTTATAGGATATTCAAATGAAAAATTAACAAAAGGGGAAAAAAATCACCATGTAATTATGAAATAACCCTTGAAATAAGTGTGGCTCTTTATAAGGAACTATAAATTAGGGGGAAGGAGTGGTAGAAAGGAGAATGTTAACACAAAATTACATGTAGCAGTTCCAGACAATAAATCTCAGTTCCAGACAGTAGAAACTGTAAAAATAATAATGGCAGCTTCAGTGAGCTAAGGAGGAAACTATGACATTGTAAATATGACCAGGCAGTATGTCACGTACCTGTCACCAGAAGCTCTTTCTAGAACAATGACCTTGTGATATAGAGAAGCGAATTAAACAGTCTGGTCAGGTTATATGGTCAGTAGTGGGGAAGTAGTAGACTAGAAATATCTAGAAGCCATATCTCTGGGCAAACATCTATATATATATACCCACATATATAATTGCAGTTCCTCCTTGTAAATAAAAATAGTGCCCCTAATAATAGCACATTTGCCCTCAGATTGATCGGGAACAAATGAGAACAAACCAGCACAGACATAAGGATTACAAAATTTATAAATAAGTTGCAATAGCAAAATCATGATATAAATAAGCCTGCATTCAGTAGTCCTTGTCCTTTTATTTGGTATGAGTGTCTTATTTGCTTTAAATATCTTATGCTCCCTGTCAGCTGGAAATTTCCAGCACCATTCTCCAGTTTAAGATAACTGTACACAACTATTCATTCTTTCATTTATCTTGCCGATAAAGAAGTATCTGTCAAAAAATATGCATCAAAACAGTTGCTGAAAGCTCCCAGTATCCCCACAAAATTACAGTTTACAGCACTTCCCGGGACATTTATGACAGTGGACGTGAAGTCAGCCCCATGCAACTGAATGAACTTGCTGCTAGTAAAACCTTCTATTTAGATGGAGGGAAAAGAGCAATTGTAGACTGGAACTGAGCTACTCAAGTGTTTGCTTTTGTGCATATGTGCAATGCACAGATAGCGGTGATCAAAGGGGGGGTTTTAAAATGCATATCAGACGTCTCATTAATAGTCATGGTACATTTACCTCATTACTAACAAACAATCTGAAAGGCCATATATGGATAAACAGAGCTTGAAGTGGAGAGAGAAACCGAACTGAGTAGGTTGGGTTGTGTTAACGAACTGTGCTTAGAAATGAAAAAGTTATGGACTATTTGACGGTGAGGAAAGTTTATACAGGTGCCTGTCAGGGCTTTAATTAAATTATAAAATCCTCTCCTGTGGAAAAAAAGGATGGAAAAAAGTCAAATCCATTCTCCTGAAATGCCATCATTTTACTTAAAACAAACACTCTGCTATGAACTGCTGGACTATACATAGCATTGTCTGAATGAATGAGGTTTATTCCCGGATTCCATTCTTATTCGGTTCAATAAAGCTGACTATTCTAAACCCCACTGTTATGGCTCTGCTCACAGTTTTGGCGGAAAGGTTTCAGGTACTCCGAGATCTTCAGGAGATAAAGGGAACGTGATGTGAAATCCACATTCTCCATTTAAATAAACTGAGGTATGCTGCCCGAAATAAAAGACATCAAATAAGAAAATGGAGCAGAAATGAGAAACTTCACAGAAATCTGAACTTATTGATTTTATTGCTATAGAAAACTAGGTTCAAAAACCCGGTCGAGAAGTATTCTGAAAGTAAAATAAATGCACGAAAATATTGTGGGAAAACAAATATGGCATGCAGAATGAATACGATTTATCAGACTTGCATTTACCCTTATTGCACTATGTAGGGGTGCTCCCTCAGAAACCCATAATGCTTTTTTAACATTTAATTATGATTAATGATCAAACTCAACAGATGTTTTTTCAAGTTGGAGAAAGCTGCCAAAACTCAGAGAATATGCTTCGTGATAAAGGGCAATCCTTGAAGCCAGTAAACGAGCTGGATTTCCCCAATGTATTCTGAGTACTTTTCCAAAACACTTCATTTCAGTCCAACAAAAAAAAAAAAGAATCATTGGCAATCTATTAGCAGAGCAACTGTTTACATGCATTTAATTAATATTTAGTGCCACACCTTGGCAGGTACACTCATACCAGTGTGTTTATACTTCTTCATATTAATTTATATTTTAATAAACAAGGTAGTCTTTTTTTAGTTCTTAACAAAATGGTCACCTACTCATTTGAGATGAGGACAGGTGGGGGTTGAGGACCAGAATGGCAGCTGATGGGATTGTTTGCACAGTTTCAGATGCTGGATTTTGGGGTGATTTAACAGGGGTGACTGACATAATTGCTGTCGTCCATGCGGGAAAGCTACAGTGCCAGGGCATATAAGTAGATAGAAAGTAGGTTCAGGGAGTCGTGAGAAACAAGCCTATTCTTCAGATGCTGGACTTTAAGAAGCTGCAGGTACAGATTAGCAGCAGATGGTTCTGGGAGAGGGGAGGTGTAAAGGTCTCCGATGTGCTATTGGCAGTGGGAGATGGTCAGGCTGTCGACTGGTAAGGGTAGACAACTGATTGGAGACAGAACCACTTAGAGAGCTGTTGTCAGTGATAGCTCCATTCTGAAAGGCTATAGAGCTAAGTTGAATGTCAAGATAGCACTTATATTTTCCCATGATGTGCACAAAAACATTATAATGGCAATTTTAATTAAATTAATATCTTGCTAATGAACATGCTTTATCTGTACCAACATAATGTGTATACGTTTGCTTGCACTTTCTAGACCACCTTTTGAAGTATGGCATATCTTATCTAGTTTTACTTACACATTTCAAAGATAATGATGAATTTAAAACTTGCATTAGTCACAGGAATGTACAGTTAGCAGATATGTTGAATATCCTTTTCCTGGATGTTTACTATCCTATATAGAGGTTATGAGTGTAATTCAACGGAAAATATCACAGTAGATAACGGAGGGTAGTAATGTTACGTGTACAATATAATGTACTAAATATTGCACTGATAACATGGACATCTGCCATGTGCACATTTTTATGGATTTAATAGTTAAGAAACATGGAAGAAATTTTGTTCTGCATCTTTCTGGAATCCTTTGCCTTTACATGGAAGGTGAGCAAAGCAATGCGATTAATGATCAAACAAAAGGCATATATATGCTACACGAAAATTTTGGCAATAGTATGCAGATTCGGATGAGAAAGGGTAACTGATTTTTAAAACTCCTATCCCAAACCTTTCTTGGAAATGAGTAAGATCCATTTCCCGTAGAGGAGGTATTCAAATTTCCATCCAGTTGGTTCTGAATAGACTTTGATAATGTTCTCCAGAAAAATGATCTATGTAAACATGTAATGCATGACTATCATGTTTACAAAAACAAAGCTTTCATGTTTACCAACAGAGTGATTCATATTTTATTTTACTCTTTAGCAAATTTGTGAAGCGTACAAAATGGAGCAACTTAACAAGCCATTGTGTCTTGACTAATTCTGCACTTTTTGATTACTCACAATTCCCTTCTATCAAATCCATTCAACGTGCCGATGATATTTCAAACTGCATTACAAATGCCCAGAACAACTTGAACAGAGAGAACACAATGGCATATGCATTGAACAGATGTCTTAAATGTCCTTTCATTTCACCAAGAATGAGGTCAGCGTGTTCTTCTATTACCCGTAATGGATTGCTTGTGAACTTACAAATCAATTAAGACAGAAAGACACCAGCCCCTCCCCTGTCCTGCTAAAAGGAAATGCTGTGTCCTCTCTGGATCATGTCCTCTTGGATCCCCATGGGTGTTGCTGTACTTTCGCAGAAACGCTGCGCGAATGTCCCCCCCCCCCACCCAACGGACTGAAGTCACCACGATACGCTCGTGAGTAAAATGGCTCCGCAGTTGCCCTTCCCCGGGCTGACAAATTTCGGGAGACGCGGCTCATGCTCCAGTTGCACAATGAGCCATAAATTCCGGGCTCCCTGGAGAGCCTTGTTGTTAGCGGCAGGAAGCGCAATACATTTCTGGAGGATTAATGGGCAATGGTTTTAACGCTAGGCAGGCACCGGGCCACTTTGCATGGAGTCACATGGAGTCTGCCTCTCCAGCTCCCCTCTGCTACTTCCAGCACTCCATTATGTCACACTAATGTCTCCGCACCATATTTCTCCCCTTTCACGGCGACAACGTGGCTATTTCCACGAGATGGTCCGTCTTTCTCATGACATCAATCTTCTATTCCCGTTTACAAACTACAGTATGTAGAAGACAAAAATAAACCCCCGCTAATCTTAATTTATTATATGCCTACAGGACTCCTCATTCTGCATGCATTATTATGGTACCCTTTTCATGTTTTGGATATGTTGCTTTATAATATGCGATTTGCCATGCTGCGTATAGACTTTGCTTGCCAATTTCCATAGTTTAGTCATGTAGAATGGCAAGTAGGGGAGAACATGGCAGATATGTGATCTCAAGTCACTTGGCTTAGACTCTGGTGACTTCAGTTAAAATGCTTCTCCTACATGGAAGGCAGTTGCTATCTTAAGGTCACCATGCTCACAACGGTTGTTGTGCAGATATGTTTTCAATGCTCCATTACCTAGTTACAAATTTGAAAATGTGAAGCATCATATATACTATAATATACTATTTGCTAGAAAGACTACATTGTATAAAAACCCCAAGGAATAAACCACAACCTCCCTCCCCCAAATTCTGTCCCTGCTTTTTTGTTCTCTCACAACCTAACTGTCTTTTAACACCTGGTGGGTGTGGCTTCACAATTAAGCAATTTACCTATTAGCCTATGGCCTAACAGTAACACATGCACACACACACATTCTCATGCTTTTCTGTTCGAAGTGGACTGGTTGACAACAGCAAGTTTGTATGCATGAAAAATGCACAGGGCCCTAAACAGAAACATATCTGGCAGCAGTGTAGCACAGTGGTTAAGGAGCAGGGCTCGTGACCGAAAGGTTGCTGGTTCGATTCCGCGCTGGGCACTGCTGCTGTACTTAACCCACAACTGCCTCAGTAAAATATCCAGCTGTATAAATGGATAACATTGTAGGTCGCTCTGGATAAGAGTGTCTGCTAAATGCCAATAATGTAATGTAATATCCATACACATACATTCAAACCAAATAAAAAAGGAAGGGAAAGTGTTTATAGTGAAAATTTCATCTTCACACAAAAGTATTAACAAGATTGTATGGCAAGGAAAAAAACATTGCTAAATTGTAATGCCATGCAAATGCAATGCTTGTGTATTGAGGCATCCATGGGACCATCATACATGTGACTTGATCCCAGGTCTGGTACAAAATATAGCAGTTATTGGAATGGGGTAGTAAGTTTCAGTCCTTGATGGTGATAAGCTGCTGTTGTACCTTTAAGGCACTTTTGCTCAACTGCACCATCAATCAATAAAAATGACATGTAATCAGATAGATAATGTAACATGATAATGCATGTTACAACACAGTGTAACATGGTGAATAGAGATTTACATATATCCAGTCAGTCAGACAGTACATTGATCATACAAATGTAATTCTAATGGAAGCAATAACCACACTTACATAATGTGTGTTTGTATATTTATGGCATGTTCATTTATGACTATGAAAAAATAGCATAGCTAAATGTATATTTTTTAGATATTTTCATCTATAGTTATTCTCACACCTGATGATACTCTCTGGACCCTGAACACACGCAGAGACACACTAGAAAGATATTGTTACACCTTTTATGTGGTACTTTTTTCCTGTCTTTCTTAGGGTCACAGATGACTTTCTCCACTGGCTTTTCCCATGAGGCGATGGGACATGTTGCTCTCTCTCAGTGTGCCTTTCTCTCATTCTTAGAAGATTGACTGCGGTGACTTCCTGTCCCCAGTCAGATTGCAGCGGTGACCTTTGACCCCTTGGCCTCCTCAGTGGAGGTCTGTGCTGCAGTTGTTCACACGCATCCCCCTTCCCCCCCCTTCCTCTTGTCTGCCTTCTTGAGGGTGTGGGAGTTGATGGGGGGGAAGGGGGGTGTATTTTAATTAGCTTGGCCTGTGAGTTTTAAGCTGCTTTTCATTACAGTGAGAAATATTTAACAAGCTCCTCTCTACAATGCAAAGCCCAGGGAATTTTACCATTGGTTACTGCTTCAGCATGCTAATATCAAAATGTCCCCTACAAATAAGCATACAGAACGTGCCTTTTACATAGTTATGCTTACACAGGCATGTCATTTTTTTACATCTGACTTCTTAAAGGATTGTTATTTTTTGTGTAACTAAAGACACAATTTATCATTCCCAGGGGGTGTTTTTTTTTAACAAAAATGACAAACAGTAAACATTTTGGGAAGGGGGATTTCACAGCTCTAGCTTCTGGAAGAGGGGGCAGTCACCGTCCAGTGATTTTGTGGTATGCATGGGGATGAAAAGAGCTCCTTACATCTGCTGTAGAGCTGATACGAAGGGCCACAGTCTCATCCCAGTCAAACACAGGCCAGCGGCAGATAATAAAACGCATTCCAGGGAACCTAGGAATGTCTAAGCCGTAAAGGTTATGCTCATGTTGTATGATGTATATGACTTAAGACCAGGGCTGTAATCCTACATAAAGGCACATTGTGTTCATGCACATTTTCATTTCATGGATAGAAGTTTAATCATTTGAATTCCCCTAAACACTACTTCCTCAAAGAGCAGGCGGTACATTTAAGACGTTAAGTGTTCTAAATATGGTTCAGTTTCAAAGTGTGTTTCCGTGTGAAAGACAGCTACACCCCTATACTGCTTGTTCAGGTATTGTAGTCACACTTTACAGCCTACTGCTATCTCAAAGTGTTGGCAGGAAGAGTACCAGTGCAAGCGGACAGACTGGCTGTCTCCACTCATAACCAAACCAACGAGCAGACTTCACATGGTCAATAATAGCATTACATCCTAGCGAGCAGACTGTGTGTGACAGACTGAAAACGACCGCTATCTGCAGAAGATTATATTGTCAACTGCCACGTCGTAAAGTATCACAAATATGGTGACTTCATTGTTTGTTCTACAAGGCACATGTCTGTAGTCACATTCTAGGTTAATGACTAGGCTAATTTCTCTGCCAGAATTGTTGTCAAAACATGCTCCCCATAAAGGTACCTAATAAATCCATTTAGACATTCTAAACAAGGTAATTTATTTAGAAAATACACATACCTTAACCCAAGCTGCTCCTTCTTGAAAGCTAATGACCTGCATTTTGTTAACAATTCTTGCTGCAAATGTGTTTCTGCCATCTTTTTTTGTCCACTGAATTTGTGGCATTTTAACCTTATCGTAAATCAGGATCAGGGATGTCTCCAGCTAGAATGCTAGTGTTACCATAACTGAAAATAGAGAGCATGAATCGGAGAGTATCCAAACAAGCCTTATCTTTATAAATTTAGGATTGCTTTTTTCAGACCAGAAAAATGCAGCTGAGGTTAGCAAACCAATTGAATGTCATTTGATTAATCCAACTGCTGAATTCCAGAATTCTGAATTCCATAATTCTATTTCTTTCACATTGCAGTCTCATTTCACTTGCCTTTCACCTGCAGCGGAAATCCTTTGAAGAATAGACAATGTAAGATGGAGGATACAGATGCCCAATGTGATGTGCTCTTGAATTGACTATTATTATACAGTGTTTTTACCAAGTAACTGCAGTAAAAATGTAAAATATTAAACAATGAATCTGTGAAAGACACTATCCTCTGGTAGTGATTCCAAAGCCACACACAAGGCAGACAGCTAACATCAAGGCAAAAACGTCACTAGGAGACCACAATCTAGTTCCCTTGGTGATGACAGTTATGTATTACAGTGCATGGTGTGTACGTGACTCTGCTATATAGGGAAATCAGTCTTTCGAATCAAGATAAGTTAATGACCATTTTTGGGGGACCTGGGGATTTTGCGCTGTAAGCTAATCAGCTAATCATGTCATCATCTCTTGCCAGGAATCTGTGACGTGCAGTTACGAAGGTTGCAATTTCTGTTTGCATTCAGAACACATGGTTACTGAGCACTTACGTATATAAAGTTATATGAATAGATAACACAAAGATTGAAGAAAATCATAATTAGCTCACTTTAACATGTTTGAGTCATATATATTATTTCTTACAGTATTTTTAAGGGCTACTTTTTGTCTTATTTCATATAGTATGTTGTATGGTTATGAAATTTAAGCCCCAGTACTTGAAACAATCTTTCAGTGAAACAGTGATATGATAGGGATCACTTTTTCCCTAAATACTTTTGTCTGTAACTGTATATCTTGGGAGACTTTAATTTTGCTTCATAAACAGCAATGCTTGCTGGCCGAGGTTTTGATTTTCAACGAAATGCAACATGCTCCAAGTGAAACAAGACTAGTGGTAAATCTGTTTACAAGAGCAAGCTGATATCATAGAAATAGTCTCCAATCTGGTAAGAAAAATACAGATAAGATAGGGCTTACGCAGGGCTGAAAACTGCAGCCAGGATTGCATATGGCAAAGTTCCAGAGCCATTTTAAAAACCACCCTAATTTGCCTTAAGAGGAGCCCTGGGCCTTTATGATAACACTCTGATTGCTGATGTTCAGACGCTAGTTGTGATTTGTAATCAAGTACCTGCTGTTCGATAAAAAAGGCTAGGCTAAACTAAACAATGAGGGGATCCAAAACACTGAATCACAGAAAACCAAATAGTGATGGATGGGAGTTTTGGGGGTTGGGGTGATGGGGACTGGGGTGGGGGGTGCGGGGTTGGGTTGTTTGTTTTCCTTAAAATCCCGACGCTGTCAGTTACCGCTGGCTACCCTGTGACCCCCTGTAGTCTTTCCCGTTAAAATGTCAAATACAAGCTCAGTCACCCTACAGCCTCACAGGCAGCCCTCAGACAGGAGCTGTCCTCTCTGATTTGTCAAAACTTGCCCCGGTAGCATGAACCTGCTATGGTATGCCACCATCTTTATCCACGAGTACCATGACACACCACATACAGAGGGCAGACCATATGCTTTAGTCTACTACCTGCAGACTACATAATTTAGGTAGAGATCATAGTGATGGTGTGGGCGACCAATTATGGCTTGTTAGATTGCAGGAATAATTACTGAATATGGCATTCTTTCCATGACAATAGTCCACTTTATTCATTACATTACATTACTGTATTCATTACAGGCAAACAACACGTTCAGACCAGTGAGTGTGAGCATAACACTATTCAAGCCATACTATTCATAGCATGGGTCATTAAAAAAATGTATGTATTTATTTGTGTGTGTTTATTTGTGAACAATTTGGACAGGATTCCAGTAGTGAATCCTTGATAATTTTAGGTTTCATGTTTGCATCATCAAACACATTCATTTTACATACATCCTAAATAAAAAAAGAATATATACATTTCATAAATTCTATTGATTTATCATTTATAACTTGCCTAATCAAAATCAGGCATGCAAAATGTATGACCCCCAATTATTCGACCCCAAAAATGAAATATTGCTTGCGTCAAAATACAAACTGCATCCTTTCAGAAAATAACAAATACCTTGAAATACCTTTCATAACAATGAAGAAATGACTCTTCAAAGTTGCTCACGCCAGAAACATTAATTTAGCAAAACCTTGAATTGTGAAAATTAGCTGCAACTGTAAAAGGCTCCTCTCTGAGTTTTAAGTGCAGTAGCAACTGTCCATTGCCAATCAATCAACACGATAAACTGTGAAGTTGAACAAAACACAGGAAAATCACACAATTAAGACTGATTACATGTTGGTGGGCCGTATCCCATATCAATACAACAGAGTTAGGGCCATTTCAGAGTGTCCAGCAGAAATAACCACAATGATGCAGAGTGCTTACAATCATTATTTTTGTTCCATCTAACCTCATTTGAACACACAGAATTCAGACAAAACTTCATACACAATAAATGGCTAAACTTGGACCACTGTCTTCCTGAGCCTTTTATCCTAA